ATCCATGTGCGCGAGGACGAATCTCTCCACTCCCAAGCGGATTTCCTTCACTCACACAAAACTGGACATGTGCTTTTAAATATTGTTCTTGTATGAATTGACTCTGCTCTGTCACTGTCTCTGTCTCTGTCACTCTTTGTTTAGTGAGTGTAGACGATGTATTATAACTTGTATTATAACATACATCTACAGTGAACTAATTACAGTGTATATTTTTACATATCTGATGGTGTTGACAAAAAAACTAGGGACACAGCTGTGAATCCTATTAATTAGATGTATATTTTTTAAAATAGTCATCTTCCCTCTTTCAGGACAAAATTAAAAAAAAATTCTTTTAAAAATACATTTATATTTTGATTTGTTATTTATTAGAAATATTTAAAGGGGTCATATGATGCGATTTCAAGTTTTCCTTTCTCTTTGGAGTGTTACAAGCTGTTCGTGAATAGATAAGATCCCAAAAGTTGCAAAGACTAAAGTCTCAAACCCAAAGAGATATTCTTTATAAAAGTTAAGACTGGTCCACGCCCTCCTAAAACGCTTAATTTAAACACACCCCCACATGTCTACGTCACGATGTGGGATGATTTGCCTAATGCCGCCCAAATGTTCACGCAATGAAAGAAGGCGTAACTTTATTGTTGCTGTCACCGCCGCCGCCATGTTGTGAAGACGCTGTGTGTTTCGTTGCGAAAAGAGGCCTTCCAAAAGAGGACAAGACTAGAAATCAGTGGTTAAGTTGTATTTACAACACTGTTCCAGAACAGATCAACCCAAATATTCAGATGTGTGCAGCACATTTTATGGAGGACTGTTTACTGATCCTGAGAGAGTAGACTACAATGCCGGCTGTTCTGACTCACAGACTGTAAGTACATTTTCATATTTAAAGAATTTGCCACTGAGGATTCAAACGCGAGTTTTGAGCAGTGTAGAACAGCGCTTGTTGTTTGTCATTTCTCCAATCACAAATGCAGACATGGTTTTATGTTTACGCAGCGCGATGCAACACAACGCGTAAAAAGACAGTATAAGTCATTATAATCCGTAATTATGTCCCCACTGGATGCAAAAAATGCCTCGTTTATAATGGGTTTTAATGTTTTTGAATCATCGCTCCGGCCGGACAGGGCATCACAGTATGGTAAGGGGCGTAACATTTCCGTCACACGCTTGAGGTATTCGGCCAATCACAACGCACTGGATAGCTGGCCAATCACAGCACACCTTGCTTTTCAGACTGATGAGCTTTGTAAAAATCGACGCGTTTCAGAAAGGCGGGGCATAGAGGAGAAACAATAATGTACAGTATGTGGAACATTTGTGTTTTTTGAATCTTAAACTGCATAAACATTTCATTACACCAAATACACAAAATAATGTTCTTTTTAGCAACATCATATGACCCCTTTAAGAATTTTCAGTGTTAAGTTAGTATTTTAAGGTTAGCGAGTGATCATGTAATGTCATAATTCTAAAGAAAAACAGAGAAAATCTAATGAAATCCAATTATATTTTAAAAACAAATGTCTCAAGAATCATTGATTGTCAGATAAAGACACACATACAGACAGGTAGATAGATAGATAGATAGATAGATAGATAGATAGAGAGAGAGAGAGAGAGAGAGAGAGAGAGAGAGAGAGAGACAGACAGACAGACAGACAGACAGACAGACACACATAGTTGAGCCAGTGTTTTTGTGCTGTCCAGAGAGCTTCTTTTCACAGCAACAATCAGCTAAATGTCAGCTACATCCCAGACCTCTTACATGGTTTATAAGGTCATGTTTTAATTTATTAACTCTTTCTTTTCAGTAAGAGCAGAACGTGTGTGTCAGACTTCCAGAGCTATGTTTAGCTTCTTCACTAAATGGCTGATAGGCTTTTAAATCACATCATTATCTCGACAGCACCTGAGCTTCATTCAGTGTGCAGACACACACCAACAAAGTCGAAGTTGTATAGTCAGCAGGGCCATTATGTCTGACTTGTTTGCCTGATGCAATTTAATATTTAATATCATACCTGAACAAAAGATTACCCTACTTACATTCTCAAATCAACACATCACTTGCAATACTGCATGGATTGAAGACGTATACAATCTGGGGGATTTCTTGATCTGTTGTTTATGCATTCTTTCAGCACAGCTGTGCATGGCAAACAATTTAGAAACAGTGAGGTGCAAAACTGCTGAGAAGTACACAAACAAAACTTTTTCCTCTTATAGTTTGCACAGACATCGCAGAAAGACTCTAACAAAGTTTTCGAGTGACCCCTAAGTGGATCTTTAGCGGTAAAACCTAGTGTCCATTCAGTTGAAACCTATTGGATCAGACACCTAGCTCTAGGCTGCGAGCACTCTGTCAAAATGGGTCTCAGACGGTAACCACAGAATATTTCATTAATTAATGAGTGTTATGTGGTGCTATTAAAGCACTCACTCGCCCCATTTGGCCCAAAGCACAGCCTTTTAACACATTAACTCACCACAGATCTCAATCTGATGCATGAGAAAGAGGACGAGAGAAAAACAGAGACGAGCTAAAAACTCATCACATGCAGTCTGCAAGGAGTCATATACAGGGCACAAAATCCCATCGCATACTGTAACCTCTTATACTTTATGGTCCTTGTCAAAATTTGCAATACATTTTATTCAATGTTGTTCAACTCTAATGGCACTAATGCAGGTCTACAACACAACGGGAGTGTTAATATGAGAACATACATTAGCGGGCCAAGGGAATATGGGCACCCAGTTACCACTAATGGGTGCTAAACTAATAATTGCTTAGGTAATGTAAGCTTTTACATGGGCCTGTCTCTCTCTGTACACTTGCTTTGCAATTGTTTTTTGTAGATATAAGTTGTTTTTTATAAATGTGTGCACTTGCAACTAAATTAAGTTTGAATTAAATTAGGTGGGGATTATACTAATATATTTCTATCCAACAGATTTTCCACAATTACTGAGAACTCATAACTATCACCTTTAATGTGACAGCCAGAAACAGATGGGTGTGTTTAATAACAAAGAAACGTCACAACGTGAAAAGTCACACAAAGATAGCTGTGGTAAGCCCTACAAAAGTGATGCATTCTGTCTGCTAGATCTGACAGGGCTTGGAGGCCTTTGGATGTTTCTGGTACTGTGTTCACTTCCCCATTCTCGCTCTCTTTTCTCTACCTCCCCCTCTGTCCTGAGGGAAGTTGCAACTTCAAAACATGCACAATAAAGAAAGATATGTCTCAACACCCAAATATTTACCACAGATGTTGTAATACACTCATCTTCCCAAGAACATACTAAAATCATTATAGAATTAGTTCATATCTATCTATCTATCTATCTATCTATCTATCTATCTATCTCTGTCTGTCTATCATCTATCTGTCTGTCTATTTATCATCTGTCTGTCTATCTACAATAGGGAAAATATTTATTTGATGCCCTGCTGATTTTGTAAGTTTGCCTGCCTACAAAAAAATGAAGGGTCTGTAATTTTTATGGTAGGTTTATTTTAACGTATAGAGACAGAATATCAACCAAAAAA